TGGAACAGCGTATACTCAGACCCATATTTCAGCAGGCACGAATAATACTCATAACATGAAGCCCTAAATGTAGAAGTATAACAGAATCAGTTCAAACCTTGATCTATAGCAGGACTAGAAATCAAAATCACGAAATAGTAGAATTTGATTCCTGGTTTCCACCTTTTGCTGCAGCAACTGATTTTGTACGTGCCGGGGGCGAGAAATGGGGTGAGGATTAGCGTGGGAAGTAGAAGTAGCAGTAGCAGAACCCAATCAAACGTGAAGCAGATAAGTGAAGTCTGTCAGGGAGACTGTTGAATTGCTTACCGTACCTGCGACTTTTTAGCTATATTTAATTTAGATTTTAATCTAAATTAAAGTCAATTATTCATTTCAACAATATATTTTATTCGTCTCACAATTTTTCAACCAAATATTTCATTAAATTCTATCAAAATTTATTAAAAATTTGATTCAGAGCTAATTTTACGTTATTATGAAATATTTTATAAGTGTTATAAAAATAATATTTTAATATCAATTCATTGGAAGGATTTAACGAGTCTCAAATGAACTAAACAAAATAAAGTTTAGGATAAAAATTTAAGATAATAAAATTGTACTATAAAAAAACTCAACTTCTATGATTCAAATTTTTTGTGATGATGAAATACTATAAATGAGCAATATCTTTATACTATATTTGGTACATAAGAATTAATTGTTAATACATGAATTTAAAAACCCATTAAAATTCCTAAATACATGAATAAAAATAAATTCATCTATAATAACTCTAGATTCATCAAATCAAGATTCATTGAATCTTAATTAATGTGAATGTTAATAAATCAAAAATTAATAATATTAAATTTATACATGAGAAGAATTTTGTAGTATCTATTAAATATTGAAAAACGAAAAGTAATGTATTATTGAAATAATTGAATTATAATATGTTTAAAATCGTCCAAAAAATGATTCTCACTTGATGTGATATTTTCCTATAGATTACTACCTGATGCTACCAAAAATCGTACCTGCTGATTTTCCGAGCTTGATGACTGGTGAGGAGCACGAACGTGATCTTCCGATACCTGAAACAAAGGCAACGAGGTGTGTTCTCGTCGCCCCTCCGATGCTTAAGTCAGAAAGGGAAATATATGCGTGAGGCTATGTGCTGAAGAACAATGAGAAAACGTACCTGAATAATGGCCCAAGGTTCTGCTTTTATAGGAGTAGGTAGTGTACTCCTAGTAGGATTGTGTTGGTTGGATGTTTTTATCCAAGGGAATTTCTATTATAAAGAATGTCCTACTTGTAACGGAATTGTTTGACAAGTGGTGTTAGGGTTGATGTAGAATCCTTGAGTGTTTAGGTTTGTTAGTTAGGTACCCAGGTCTTAGGAGGTATGTTGGTGGTGTATGTCTCGAGGACTATTCTCGAGGACATTGAGGAAATGTAAATGTGTTCTCGAGGTATCTCGAGGACTACAATATCTCGAGGACTTAGATGACCTCGAGGACCGAAGAAGAGAAATGAGGTGGGGTATATATTGAGTCCTCGGGATACACTCCTCGGGGTATATCAATATTGGCATAGTCATTGGCCCCCGTGCACTCGTCCTAGAGGTCGTGCTCTTAGGATGGGGTGCACATGGGTTATGTTATCTCTCGAACATTCATCGAGAAGTGACGCCTGATGATATAGGTCGAGATATTACCGTTGCAGAGAGTGGCTTGGATTTGTGACACGTGTCTCTGTGGACGGTCGTAGATAGCGACCTTTGACCTCCCATCATTTTCACCTATAAATACTATTGTTCTTACCTTCATTTTTCACTTTTACCCACTGTAAATCAGAGCTCTGAGAGGTCGTGCTCGAGAGAAATACTTTGGGAACTTCTCAAGTCGTCGGGAACTCCAGGTAAGGCTCGAGACTTTAAGTTATTCATAAGCTAGGTCTTTAAGTTTGTTAAGTAATGTCGAGTAGTGAGGGTCGAGAATCTTCTAGCAGTTCTAGTAGTAGTGAGGAGGATGTAGGGACCTCGATAATACCGACGGCCATTCCCCTAGAGGCTACTCCCGAGGCCCAAGTCAATATGGTTTTTGAGTATCCCGACGAACCCTGTAGGCTTAAAGAGCACTAAGTCATAGCTGCGGCTAGGGAATATGGTATAATGCCTAATTGTGATGTTAGATTTCCTGACCCCGAGGATAGGATTATTCGAGCACGACGAGGGGAGTTTGTTATTTTTAGGGAGACCCTTAAGGCTGGCTTTAAGTGGCCCCTTCACCCTTTCTTTATTGCTCTATTAGTCGAGCACTCCATGTGCCCGGGGCAATTAGTGCCCAACGCCTGGAGGATGCTCGTTTACTTTTTTATAGCGTGTAGATACTTAGGTATCGAGCCCAACGTTAGCCTCAGCAAGTTAGTGTTCGAGCTTAAGAAGCATCCTCGATACACGTGTTTTGGCTATCTCTCGACGATTGGGGGCTTTAAAGTCCCGAGGATGGCAAGCTCTTTAAAGGGGTGGAGGGCGGGGTGGTTTTATGTGGTAGCCCAAGAACCCGATCTTCCTTTCTGGCCTGATTGGGGAATCCCCGACGCCGAGAAGTTCTGTGAGGGCCAGGTGTATCCGGATGTCTTGGAAGAGCATAGGAGGATGCTGGTCGGGCTCAGCCCCCTTTTCTCGATGATGAAGGAGATTGGGGAAGAGGTTTTAGATCTGGCAGATATTAGAGGCGTCGAGGGTAGGGATGTTCCTTTATTGTAATTTTTTGAAATATACCCTGACCTTATGCTCGTTCTAAAATGTTTGTAAATATTTGCAGGTATGTCTTTTGATCCTCGTGCTCTCCGGAACTTTGTCAGCACAAGGGGAGGCGCCCCTCCACAGGGGCAGCCCTCGAGGAAGAAAAGCAAGAAGAGGCCTCGAGGGGGTCCTGAGGGTGCGAGGGGGCTTGGCGAAACTTCTCGAGGACATCCAGAAGTCTCGACCCCTCTGCAACCGAACCTCAGATCTCCGACTCCTCGGGTTGTCACTCCTCGGCCTCCTTCTGAAGTGGTTGACCTCGAGGATGAGCCGTCTCTCACTGGGGACTTTGGGACTTGTCACCTCGCTCCTGAGCTTGTAAACAAATACAAAGAGGAGGTCAAGCTCGAGGATGGGATGAAGGTCCTCGAGGGTCTCACAGTGAAGGTAATCTTCGAACTTCTGACTTTAACCTCGAGTTTGTTGGTCGAGCTTAACACTTGACATTTTCATTTTTTCCAGATGTTGAGTATAGCCCGAGGACTCTCTCTGCAAGGGCTCGAGGAGGCCAAGAGGGCAGCTGGGGTCGAGACGTCCATGGCCTCTAAGGACAGCAGGATTCAAGACCTCGAGGCCCAGGTCGAGGTTTTACTGAAGGAGCGCGATGACGCAAGGAGGGAGGCTGCGAAGGCCAGGGATGACTTGGTTGCAACAAAGGATGAGGTCGAGGGGGCGAGGCTCGAGCTCATCCAGAAGACAAAGGATTTCGGGCGCGAGCTCGAGGCTGTCAGGGAGAGGGCTTGGGAGGAGTTTAAAACCTCCGAGGACTGCGACAAGATAAAAGGGGAGTATGCGTCGGGGGCGTACTTCCATGCTCTGAAAGAAGCCCGGGCCTTCCTCAGGCAGAAGTTGCCCGACGTCACTCCAGACGACCTGAAGACGGTGCCTTCCATTGCTGATACATTGGAGCTCTCGGGTTCAGAAGATGGAGGAGGATCTGGTGGAGATGATGAGGATGGTCCTGAGGACGACGTTGAGATCGACATCAGCAACCTCGATCCTCCTCTCGGCCACATTGGATGACTTCCCCACCCCGATCCTTTGTAATTTTTTTGTTTAATTTCAACAATGTAAATTGATCGAGGATTATGTATGTTTAATTTATTCGAACTATTTATCTCGACCTCTTGGACTCCATACAATCGAGCAATCAAATTCAAAACTTTACTGCTCGCGCGATATTGAAGTGTTTACTCGAGGATTCCACAACTCGAGCGTATTTAAGGGATTAAAAGGTGAGACGTACATTCTTGAGCACAAAAATATGATGATGTGACACATGATGTTGTGACATTCTTGAGGACTGTAACTAAGGCATTCTCAAGGACCGTAGTCCCGAGCACAACCAAACTTTAAAAAATTGAGTGACGTTCTCGAGGACTGTAATCCTCGAGCACAACTAGACTTTGAATTGTGACATTCTCGAGGACTGTAATCCTCGAGCACACTAACTTCAAAAAGTTGTAATGTGACATCCTCGAGGACTGTAATCCTCGGGCACACTAACTTCAACAAGTTGTAATGTGACATCCTCGAGGACTGTAATCCTCGAGCACACTAACTTCAAAAAGTTGTAATGTGACATCCTCGAGGACTGTAATCCTCGGGCACACTAACTTCAACAAGTTGTAATGTGACATCCTCGAGGACTGTAATCCGCTCAAGGCCTTTTGTGCTTGCGTAGGGCAAGGCTTTTTTAATGTGCTTGCCTGGGGCAAGGCTTATATTGGCCTGTCAAAGACAAGGCTTGAAGGGCTTGCTCGGGGGCAAGGCTTAAATTGGCTTGTCAAGGACAAGGCTTGAATTGGCTTGCTCGGGGGCAAGGCTTAAATTGGCTTGTCCAGGACAAGGCTTGAATTGGCTTGCTCGGGTGCAAGGCTTAAATTGGCTTGTCCAGGACAAGGCTTGAATTGGCCTGCTCGGGGGCAAGGCTTAAATTGGCTTGTCAAGGACAAGGCTTGAAGGGGCTTGCTCGGGGGCAAGGCTTAAATTGGCTTGTCAAGGACAAGGCTTAAAGGGGCTTGCTCGGGGGCAAGGCTTAAATTGGCTTGTCAAGGACAAGGCTTGAATTGGCTTGCTCCAGGACAAGGCTTGAATTGGCTTGCTCGGGGGCAAGGCTTAAATTGGCTTGTCAAGGACAAGGCTTGAAGGGGCTTGCTCGGGGGCAAGGCTTAAATTGGCTTGTCAAGGACAAGGCTTGAATTGGCTTGCTCCAGGACAAGGCTTGGAGGGGCTGTTATACCCGATGTTTGGATTTATTAATTGTTTGGACTGGACTTGGATTTATATTGCATCCAAGCTGCCTACGTACCCAAACGGGATCAAGTCGAACGTAGTTCGTTACAAAAGAGAACGGAAAATATGCATGGGCACGCAGACCCGCTAAACTAGAAATAAAATGCAGGAAAAGAAAATCTCCTTAAAGGTGTCGGGAATTTTACTTGTAATATATTTTCAAATTGTCGGCATTCCAGGGCCTCGGAAGAGGTCTACCCGAAGTGTCTCTTAGGCTGTATGCTCCTTTGCGAACCTGCCGTATGACCTCAAAGGGCCCTTCCCAGACGGGCCCGAGCTTCCCTGGGGGATGGCCTGCTGCTTCGGCCCTCCTCAAGACCAAATCGCCAGCTCTGAACCTCCGATCCTTGACTTTGCGATTAAAATGTTTTGCTGTCTTTGCTTGGTAAGAGGCCACTTTTATAGCGGCTTGCTCCCGAACTTCTTCCAAGAGATCAAGATGTTCAGTTGTATGTTCCGAGGTTTCTGGCACGAGCCTCCTATGGCTTGGCAGTCTAATTTCCACTGGGACCATCGCTTCAACGCCATAGGCTAACATAAAAGGGGTTTCTCCTGTGGTTGTCCTATGAGTTGTTCTGTACGTCCAAAGTATAGAAGGCAGCTCGTCGGACCAAGAACCCCTAGCATCACTTATTCTTGTTCGGAGGTCTTGCAATATGATTCGATTTGTTACCTCGGCCAGACCGTTGCTCTGAGGATGCGAAACTGACGTCAGACGGTGATCAATCCCAAGGTTTGAGCAAAAGTTTCTAAACTGTTGGTTGTCAAATTGCCTGCCATTGTCGGTGATGAGGACCTTTGGTATCCCAAACCTGCAAAAGCTTGGGCTCCGATATTGTGGCGAGAGGTTCGGCCTCTACCCATTTTGTGAAGTACTCTACTGCTACAACAACAAACTTTAACTGACCTCTTGCCACAGGGAAGGGGCCGAGGATGTCAACTCCCCATTGTTCAAACGGGGCCGAACAGTTAATGTTGGTGAGGTCCTCGGCTGGTGAGTGGATAATATTGCCAAACCTCTGGCACTTATCACAATTTTTAACATATTCTGAGGCGTCTTTTTTCATAGTTGGCCAGTAGTATCCATATCGTACGAGTTTAAAGGCCAAGGCCCTGGCTCCTTGATGATTCCCGCACACACCTTCGTGAACTTCAGCAAGGGCCTGGGATGATTCTGATGGCCTGAGACACCTTAGGTACGGAAGAGTAATACTTCTGCGGAAAAGGACACCGCTGATCATGCAGTACCTAGGAGCTCGGGCTCTGATGCTTCTGGCCAACCTGGCATCGCTTGGTAGACTTCCGTTTGTGATGAATTCTATAATCGGGTCCATCCAGGATGGTTCGTTGTCAATGTCCATGATGTCGAGGGTTTGACTGATGCTGGGTTCTGTGATGATTTTAATGTGAACTGTTCTGTCAAGGCCGTCTACCCCCATGAACATAAGCCTGGATAATGCATCGGCTTTTCCGTTGTCCTTTCGAGCAATTTTTGTAATTTCACAGCTCTTAAATTTTCGCTGAAGATCCTGAACCTTCATACAGTACAAACTCATTTTCTCCTCCTTCCTTTCAAATGATCCTTCAGTCTGTCCGACCACTAGCTGTGAATCGCTGAATACCTTTACGAACTCGAGCTCTAGGCAAAGGGCTAGTTCAAGAGCAATAACGACGGCCTCATACTCGGCCTCGTTGTTGGTTGCTTCAAACTCGAATCTGAGAGCGCATTGGATCTCTGTTTGTTTGTCAGGGCTGATGATGATGACCCCTGCGCCCGAGCCCGAGGAGTTCGATGCTCCATCCACAAATATTTGCCAAGTGTCCAAATTAGTGCTCATGCTCGAGCTCTCACCTGGCCCCCGAGGCCTAGGGGTTAGTTCTGCAATGAAGTCGGCCAGAGCTTGGGCTTTGATAGATGGGCGTGGTTTGAATTCTATGTCAAATTCCCCAAGCTCGATTGCCCATTTCATCAGTCTTCCTGATACGTCGGGCTTCTGAAGTATATGCCTAAGTGGTTGATTAGTGAGCACCACAATAGGGTGAGACTGAAAATATTGCCGGAGTTTCCTTGCTGCTATAACCAAGGCAAAGGCAAGTTGTTCCGCCAAAGTATACCTTGTTTCTGCATCCAGTAGGACCTTGCTTACATAGTAGATAGGCTGTTGGACTTTGTTAACCTCTTTCACCAAGACCCCGCTGACAGCATTTTGAGATACGGCCAAGTACAGAAATAAGGTGTCACCAGGCTCAGGCCTAGTGAGAATTGGGGGAGATGCCAATATCTGTTTGAGTTCCTGGAAAGCTTTCTCACAGTCTTCACTCCAATCAAAGCCTTGGTTTCCTCTGAGGACTTTGAAGAAGGGGTAGCACCTGTCCGATGCTCGGGACATGAACCTGTTCAAGGCTGCTATCCTACCGGTCAACCTCTGTACCTCTTTCTTGTTCCTTGGTGATTCCATAGATGCCAAGGCTTGTATTTTGTCAGGGTTGGCCTCTATCCCCCGATGAGTGATCATAAAACCCAAGAACTTTCCCGAGGCTACGCCGAATGCACATTTCGCGAGGTTCAACTTCATTCCGTACTTTCGCAAGGTGTTGAACACGTCTTCAAGATCTGAAATATGTTGGTCCACCTGCTTGCTCTTGACCACCATGTCATCAACGTACGCCTCCACATTCCTTCCAAT